CACAAGTCTTAAAGTTGCCACGGTTGGACACCCCTGCACTAGACCATAAGCACACCCACAGGTTGGCTTTGATGTCCTCCCCTACACTTCAATTCCCAGAATTCCCCAGCCAACCGTGGGTCTGGAACTCTGGGAGTTTAAGTCCATTCATTTTAAAGTTGCTGAGGTTGGTAGACACTGATATAGGCCATGGCTCATGAGAATATTTCCAGAAATGGTGAGTGGACCATTTTGCAAACAAGGCAAGGAGATTGTGTGGATTTGCCCACTGCTCCAAATGCAGCAACCCCTGCATTCCCGGTAAATTTTAGGATGCTCCTTATGCTTTTAGGATTTTGCTGGACATACTTTGTGGAGAACAGGTGTTGGGACAATAGGGTCACTATACCAGGGAGGTCTTGTGAAATATGATGAAGTCCAAAATTAAGGTTAAAATAAACAGAACTATTTCCAACTGCTTTTTTTTTTTTGTTGTTACTGCTTTTGAAAATGAATCTGCCAAGTCTAGTTATAAATCAAAGTGAAGGAAATTTGGCCACTGACTGGATAAAAGGGGGAAAATAAACAATCTAGTCCAGGATAAGAGCCAGATATCAACCTTTGGAGTGTCCACAAAGAGGACACAAATATAACTTCACTCCATTGCCTCCTCCCACCTCCTTCCGGGAATTTAGAGAGAGACTGCTCTGAGAATACAGAATTTATACACTCATTAGAAGTACCAAGTAGAGTCTGGACAAAGTTCAAACATATTCCTATTGATGATTCCAGCAGGCCATGTTCTTTTCATAGCAGATCTCCAGGTTGTCTCATTTTTCCCAACAGTCAGCCAACAGAATTTGGATGCAAACTACCCCCTCATGGTTAGGATCTAAGGCGTTCATTCATTAAGTGGCCTTGTTTCCAAGAATCTGTCTGGTCCAAAGCCAGCTGGGTCTTTTGACCAACTTCCCATTTAGTTGAGTCCTAGCATTTAAATTGGACAGTAAATACAGTAGGTCAGAACCCCAGGTCAAGATTTTGTCAATGGAAGACTTTTCTTACAATTCTGGCGTCAGATAATTCATAACTCTCAAGGACAGGATTTATTTCATTTTAAGAAAAAGAAAGGAAAGGAAAGCCAGGCTGCTCAGGAACTAACAGCTGATGAGTGAATCAGAGTGTACATACAAGTCAGGATTTTGTGAAGCAATAAACGAGTATTCAATGTTGAATTTTTAACACTGAATTAAATGGAGGGCAGGGCCCTGGACAAATTTGCCATCTGTTCTGGGGATTTTTAATCTGGCTGCCAGTTCCAAAGACTCCTCTATTTACTATCTCCTGAGCAGAAGTATGAGCAAAACTCTTCTCTATCGGTATTGTAAGCAGCAAAAGGGTTCAGAGTCTCAGTTTCCTGTCAAAAATCTCTGCTTGGTAAACAACAAAACAGATGAATACTTGTAACTTCCCCTTGGCCTTCCAGCTCAATGCTGCCAAAGCTCTAATTTGCTCCTCGGTTTTGCTGAGTGGGGCTTTATAATTTGTGGGATTACTTTGGAAGCAGGAAACTAGAGAGAGGAGAGGTCAACAGATCATGACCGCACAAAGAGGGAAACTGCCCACAACAGCCACACTAAGGGTGTGCCCATGAACCAGAGCAGCTTTAGAGTGGTTGAAAAGATCCAACAATAGAGGAGGGATGTTTAGAGAAGGTGTGAGGAAGAGAAAGAAAAAACAAGGAAGGTTGGATGCCTCTGAATCCTCTCTGAAATCAGTGATCATCAGCTGTCCTGCCAAAGGTTAACTTTTAAAAAAACTGAATAACAGAGTTGGAAGGGATCCTGGAGGTCTTCTAGTCCAACCCCTCTGTTCAGGAAGGACGCCCTATACCACTTCAGACAAACGGTTGTCCAAATGTCTCAATTCTAGTTTGGTTCTCTCCTTGATTAGTCTCCGTTTATTGCTTCTTGTCCTGCCTTCCGGTGCTTTGGAGAATAGGTTGACCTCCTTCTTTGTGGCAGCCCCTGAGATATATTGGAACACTGATATCATGCCACCCCTTTTCATTAAACTAGATATACCCAATTCCTGCAACTGTTCTCCATATTCAGTAGACATTGGATATCAAAACCTGAAGCCCTGAAATTAAAGTGGGCATCCAAAAGCCATGGATGTAGCCTTCAGAACTCTTCATAAAATTGCCAATATTGTAACTTTTAATGGGACCAGAAGAAACAGGCTTACTCTATTTGAGCTACCAAAATCCAGACCACCACAAGGTTGCAGGAAAGAAATATTAGGGATCTCAATGCTGCTGTGGTTCTCCAGATATTGGCAACCCAAATATGTAACCCCCATGGAAACAAAATAATTAAAATACATGTAATCAGGAATCTGGGAGTACCTTTTTCCAATTGTTGCCGCATATGAAATCTTAGGCTTTTAAATAAAAGACCTAGAAGATTTTTCATTGGAAAAAGTGCTCTCAAGAATCCTGATCGTTTTTTTCAAAAGGGGTGGTGGTGTTTAATGATAGGCTACCATGGCTATACCCTATACAGTGTAAAACATGTAAGAAGACATTATAACATTGATATCTTATTACTATTACATTAAATTATAAAATATGGTTTATATGTTTGACTTTGCCCTTCTGAGTTCTCTGTTCTTGTCTCACTTCCATTTTGTAATATAGACCATGACCTAAATAAATATGTTGGTTTGGGTGCCTTCATGTCAGTCTTGAGTTTTGGTTACTGCCTGGTCTGATTTTCTTGGCAGTTTTCTTGGCAAGATTTCAGAAGTGTTTTGCTATTGCCTTTTACTTCCTATGGTTGACGGAGAGGAAATGGCCCCAAAACTCCCAGCTGGCATCATATCGAAAATGAGACTAGATCTCATTTTTCCAAGCTGATTCCATAACCACTAGATCAAACTGGCTGTCACATATCACTGAGGTTTGATCACTCAAACCAAAAATATTGAGCACCCCTACAAATATATTCCTTCCAGTGATGCTTGTTTTTCATGGCTTTAGAAAGGAGTAGTGTATGAAGGACCAGTAGATTTTACACTCCCTCAATCTATAGGGGACATTCAAATTGTTCAGATTGATTTATCTCTACATTTCCAATTAGTGCTTTTTTCTGAGTGTACCAAGCTTAGACAATGGAGGCTCTGAGCATATGAAAAGAGCCTGATGTATTTCTGTAAAATGTTTCTATCCCACCTACACTTTACAAAGCTCAGAAAATCATAAAAACCCATATACAACTTGGTTCAGCACTTGTTTCAATAGATTTCAGTTCAGTAAATAACCAAATTGTTTAAAACTGAGTGGTGCCCATTGAAAATTAGATTTTTCTAACTGGGCTAAGGGAAACCATAATCATACATTAGCAGATTCTAGGAGCTGTTGAATTCATCTGAAATTATAAACAACAATTCATAACAATGAATTTGAGTCAAGCATCTCTTCCCGGATTCTGCTCTCCAAACGAACAGCCCAGACTTCAGACAAAAAAACCACGCAGGATCCAATCCGGGTCAGTCACGAGGCCAAAGGTTTTGTCTTCCGAGCTTTTGGACATTACAGTAAAAAAGGACATACATTCAATTTTGCAGCTACTAAGTTTGTTGGACGAGCAGGCACAAAAACAGCCAGGAAAGTGATTGAAAGCCTGGGAAACACTCCCCTCGTCAATCAGCAAGAGTGCAGAGCTTATCAAATACTTAGGAGGTGTGGAGGGGGGGAGTTGGCAGCACAAGGAAACAACAGCCAAAGACTTAATATCCAGCCATCAACACCCAAATCTACATCTAAAAAGCTACA